AAGGTGTCTGAGCTGAAGCACTAAAATAAAGTTTTAAAAAATGCTGTCTTGACCCAGTTTGAGACATTGGCAAGAGGCCAGTTCCTCTTCCTGAGCAGCTGATGAAGTCTGCGTCTCCAACCACCTCCTTTTCTGGGCTTGCACGCTCTGAACCACTGTAAACCTGCCCTCATGTCCCCAAGGCCAAGTACCAAGGCCAACCGCTGTGCCCCAGAGCTTGCTGAAGTTGTTCCAAGTAGCCTGTCCTAAGCCTGCTTACCTCGCCTTGCCCGTTCCTTCCTAGTGATGCCACCGTAAAGGCATTTGCCCACAGCTCCCCCTTCTCCCTCCACTTTGTGACTCACCTGGGTGCTTCCCCACATGGCCCTGCATGGCGTGCTGTGTTTTCCCCGGGGAACTGAGTAACAAAACTATAAAACTCTTTCCGGTTTCTTTCTCTTGAACTGTGTCTGGCTTCACCAGGCCTCTCCCAAGGTAATATGGTTCGAACAAGCAGGGCATCTACTGCAGACTGGAGAGGGTCACAGGTTGAGACCTGTTCTGAAGGACGAGTAGGGGTTAAACAAGTGGAGGTGTCAATGGTATGGGGAAGAGTGATGTGGGCGGAGGAACCGGGGCTTCTAGAGGAAACAAGTGTGTTACGACCTGAAAGAAAGGCTGCCTGAGATGTTCAGGGACTGAGAAAATGTTACTGGGGCTGGGTGTTGGTGGGAGAGAGGAGAGAGTGGAGGAGAGAGAGGCGGGTGGAGTCCAGTCATGGAGCCTGTGAGCAGTGGTTCCGTGAACAGTGGCGTCGGGTTTAAACGTCCATCAGACACACTCGCACTGTTCTCTGTCTCTGTGCTTACACTCTGTCTCCTTCGCTAGACTTAAACTCCTTGAAGGAAGGAGCCATGTCTCATTCATCTTCGTATCTCCAAGATGGACAGGTGCATTTTGGGAATGTGAGTTGAAGGCGTTATTGAATTAAACTCCATCCAGCAGACTGACCATGTCCACATCGATGGTATCGGGTAAAGGACGCGGAAAAAGCCGAACACAGAATACAGTTTTCAAGCCCCAGAAAATGGATCGTCTTAGCCTTACAATGTGATGTTTTGCTAAGACTCTAGAAGGTTCTAATCCTGTCTCAGTCCTCACTAGTGTGTGATCTCAGACATGTGGTAGAACCCATTCAACTTTAGTTTCCCCAGCCATAAAATTAATACACTACTTAGCTCAGTGGGATTTTTCTCCTGGTGAAATTAGATATTGCAGGTAAAATACCAAGTGTAATTGTAACTAACAGTATTAGGTACTTGAAAGTGCTAGTTCCCTTGCCTCTCGTTCCCAATCTCACTCACCCCTGGAATGCTGATTAGAGGTGTTTTAAAAGTGTGTTGAAGTCAGCTGAACATTGGAATAAACCCTCAAACTAATGATATAATTGCCTGTAACTGTTTAGGAGTCATTGACTTAAAACTATAAGGAGACTCAAAGAACTCCTTGCCCAAATCCTGCAAAGTACACAGGAAAAGGGTAAGATCCAGAGGGCGCGACTTTCTCTGTTAGAGTTATCGTCACACCCTGAGCCCTTGATTTGTCTTTTCAGCTAAATTGCAGACTCCCTTGGTCAGAGAATATATTATCCGCTGTGGTATTTCACAGAGCCAGACACACAGTAGGTGCTCAATAAATATCAAACAGTGAAAAGGTAACAGGATAAGTGAGGGAGGGCATAGCACAGCGGTAGCGTGTGTGACTAGCATGCACGAGGTCCTGGGTTCAGTCCCCGGTACCTCCATTAAATACATAAATAACCTAATCACTGCCCCCGCAAAACAAAACAAAGCAAAACAAAAATAAAATAAAGAATAGTTAAAGGTAATAGGATAAGTAAATTAACATCTTGAGATTATACAATTTAAAAAAATTTTGGCTTTTTGATTGTTGCCTCATGTCCAGTTCTGTGCCATGTTGATTTTCTCAATTATATGAAATTTAATATAGTGTAATAATTCGTTTTTCGAGTTCAAATCATTTCCACATAACCAGCAATTACTTCTTAAGACTAATGTCCGCACAGTATTTCTTTGACTCTATGTTCTGAAAATGGAAGTGATCAGTGGGTGAGTTAAGAAATTAGTGCCTGTTTTTCTTTTGACTGAATGGGATTTCTAGCAGATGTTTGAACTATTAACTGCTCTCACCAAGACCATATCAAACCTATATCATAAGAAGTATGTGAGAAATGTGTCAACCATTTCTTTTCTCTGGCTGGGGGCTGCAGTATTTCACTTTACTTTGGTTTGTATCTACCAACATAATTTTATGTCCAACAATGGAATTAAGCTTCTTGGGAAGTAATGACAACCACAACTGGACATTTGAAGACGCAGTTGGTTCAGTTCTGTTAGGATGTCTTTCATTAGGAGGAAGTTTGAAATAACACTCTTCAATGTTCTGTCTAGATATAAAACTTAAGCAATTCTTGACACTTGGATGATGAACGCTTCCCAAAATTCTATTAGTCAAAAGCTGAATAAACCCCAATATTGGCATTCTGGAAAATATTTAAATGGTTTCCTTCTAGTTATTTTAGCAATAATGGAATTCAGCTCAGGAAGTTTATGTTAAATCCAATCTCACTGCAGTTTCAGTGAGCTTTTCACCTTGACTGATGGACGATAAAGAGTCAGGGCCTCTTTGAGCTGGATTGTGCCTCTTTTTATACCCCCATCCATTCTGGCTAAAAGGCACATTTCACGTAAATGGAGAGTTTTATTTAACGCAGATCCCAATCCAATTTGGTTTCCTTGTTATCAGATCGGACTCTTCAGAAGAAAAAATATGGTAGTTAATATTTACAAATATTGACTTCAGGCCAGCCCTTTGGAACTTAAAAATAGAGTCTCTTGATTTTCCAGTGATAACTCAGAAGGAACTGTTTCAGTTAGGGGATGCACAGTTCCATATTTATACTCTGAAAGCTGGTATGTAGGAAAGTGCGCAAATATTATTAGTCAAATTATTATTAGCATTTTTGCAATACAGCATGTGTTTTTGTAATAATACCACACTCACTGGGATTGAAGAATTGAGCAGCAGTTCTAAGCTTTGCCCTCACAATCTTGTTAAATTGGAATAATAAAGTCAGTTTAGCTGTCATTTACAAAATACAGCATACTTCCGGAAATATCTAAGATATTGCTGCACACAGAAGAAATATGGGAGGGTGGAGAAAGACTAGAATGATCCAAGTTTCTGGGCAAGTCTTGTAATCTTGCTGTTCCTCATCTTTTTCTCTGTTCACGTTGGATAACAATTTGTTTTGTTATTTCTATAACGAAGATCAAATGTGACAGTGTTTGTGGAAGCAACATCTAATCTAGCAAATAATTTAGTCTTAACTGCTCAGTCTGAAGTTGAAGGACAGAGAGACTTGGGAAGCAGAATCTGACCCCACGTGATGCCTCTACTCCAGCTGACTGGTCAACAGATTGAGTACCTTTCATTAAATGTTCAGCATCAGGGTATGTGCAGACTCTGGAACTTCTCTTGCTTGGGGCGTTCCCATTTCCTATTTGAAGAATTCCTATCTTGGGTCACATTTGTCTTAGAAAATTATCTGATCTAGTAAATTTATTTAGGCTGTGGTGTTAACGCATGAAGGTAGATGAATGCCGTGTATCTTCATCTGCCCCCAGGGATGGCAAAACCTTTAGACAAGAAAAACATATATATATATTTATATAACATGTGGAGGTTCAATTTTATTTAAAGATATTGTAGAAAGTGGGATTTTTATATTAAAACAATTATGGATATACTTTAAGTTAGAAAGCCAAGTCCACGTGAAATTTTAAGATAAAATAGAAAACTTTACATGAATCTCATGCTTTCTGTACAATCCTACAGTTTTGTTTTCACAGGGGCACAAGGAAATTTCCTCTGTCATTAGGGGAACTTCAGCCGAAATGTTTCACAAACACTGACTTAAAGTTGACTCCTCCACAGTAGTCTGTTTATGGGGAGGATCTTAGAAGGCTCACTTGAATAAATGAGGACTCACAAGCACTTCAAAGCTAAGTGGCAAGAGATAGGTTCATAGATTATGAATCTATGCAAATTTCAGAAAAATAGACATGGGAAAATTGATGAGACACAAAAAGCCAGAGAATGGAAAGGGAGAGTTAAGAAAGAGAACTTTCAGTTCACTTCAAATCACATTAATGTGGGTAATCATTTGCTTTGCTCTTTTTTGGCTTAAAGTTTCTAGAATGAGACTGATCAACTTAAAGTCCATTGTTCTTTGGGGTGAATATCAGCATTTTTGGATGGGAGAGTCTTGGTGGGGCTACTGTGTTGAAAGGGGTGCTTTAAGCTGAGTTGACATGACATGAATGTATTTTTGTTGTTCATAAAATAAAGTGGATGGGTAAACGAATGGAAGGAAAAGGAGATGATAAAGATTGTGGTGGAGATATTTAACGTCTTTTGCCCCTTATCTGTCTTGGGCTATTTCAACACTCTGGGATATTTTGACACTTTGGATACCTCTGGGAAGGTAGCTTGGTGCAGCAGGAAATTCAGACTTTGCTTAGTCATAAAAACGACCTGGGGTGATCGTTTAAATTTCACATGTTTAACCCGTATCTCAGACTTATCCAGTCAAGAGTTCGAGGTGGAGGCCTGAAAATGTATATTTGTATCAGGTGCTCCAGGTGATTCTATGACAAAAATACATAGAAAATACTGGTTTAATAGAAAGAGATAGAAATTTTGAGCCGGACAGACCCACATAAGCATCCCAGACACTGACTAGCTGTATAACTGTGAGTACCTCAGTTTTCAGGTCTCCAGAATGGAAATCAGAACAATGTCTTTCCTATAGGATTGAACCAAACCATAGAAAACCATTCTGCCCATCACACCTGGCTCAAAATGGACACACAATACACATTTATTTCCCTCTGTTCTTCCCCATGCAGAAACCCAACATTTTTTTCTCCTATTTTCCTCCCTTTGCTGGCTGCTTAGAGCCACCCCATAACTCATGGAAGGTCGTGTTCTTTTCCTTCCATGGACATGGAGTTTGGGCAGCATCTGTATGCACAGTAACTGAAGTCAACATCCCCTGAGTCTGTTAGAACTCTGTATCAGCCAAATAGCTTTGCTTGTTTTGTTCTTTCCATCCCGTCTTTGGAGGAGTGTTTTGATAAGTAGCAGATATTTCAGTATTTAAGTCCTGAATCAAAGTCTCAAAATCAAACAAATTAAAAGAAAAAAATCAAACCTAAAAGAAAAATTTCCTACCTCACCTCAGCATTCAGACTTTATTGCCTCACTCCTTTACAAAAAGATCCAAACTCAAAGAGGAGAAATATTAGTCCCTGGAGAGAAATATAGCAAGAGGGCTAATGTTTACATAGTAATAGAATAAAGTGGATATAGTTATTCCATTGACAAGGTAATTTCTTAAATGGAAATTTCAGTTGTATGTTCAACATACATTCCATAAAGATCTATTGAATACCGTTGGGTAGTAAGCACTGGTATATATTAGGGATAGAGGATTAATTAGACATAGATCCTACTTTCACAGATTAAGAGAGGAGGCAGATGTGCAAAGATAAACATACGGTAAGAACGTATAAAATTAGTGGCATGAGTACTTTTAACAATTCTTTATTTCTGTGGGTTCATACTAACCCATGTTAACTTCCAGGCAACTTTGGAATAAAAACAATTTCCCCAGATATATTGCAATTATAATCAACAATCTTCTCATTCAGTCTCAACAATACCATTGGAACAAAGTTGCAATCTGTATTCTACATGTAACAGTTTTTAACTTTCTTTTCCAATATATTTTATACGGCAGCTTCTGTTATTACTACTACTCACTGCTCTCCTCCAGCACTTATTAAATTCCTGTTCATTAATAGATTGCAATGTTTTTTTTAATCCTCCAAAGAAAAAAGAAGGGATTAATATTTATTGAAAATCAACGAGGTGCCAGCTTCATTACGCTAGTTTTCCATACGCAGAGGTACAGCGAGATTTGGGAACAAGAAAAAAATAAGATTACCCTCCAAAGGCTAAACCACAAAGCCAGCACACGGTGAAGGAAATTAGCCAGCCCTAAAAGAAGCAGCCTAAAATAACAGGGTCGAAATGACTCAAGGGGTTATTCCAATCTGGCAGGAGGGACTGAAAGGGGTGCTTTAAGCTAAGTTCTCTAGCGAAGTCTGGGCCACACCAGCATGGCAAGGTTGAGTTGTGCACAGTGGTGTTAATAAAAAGAGAAGGAAAAGGTGCCAGCTGACGTTATTCAGAATAGTGCAAGCAAGAGAAGGAAGCAGATAAAGATGGGGTCAACTATTCCAGCACTGCCTGGAGGAGGGGGCATCTCAGCCCACAGAGTCGGGTAGGCCGTTCTTACTTTGTCAGCCATCCCTGTTTTATGGACATCTAGAAGCTATCTTGGAGAACTTCCCTCAAGACCATTGCACTCCCATCATTTGCCTTTCCACTCATCCAAGTAGACTTCTGGTTAAGACAGGTTTCTCAGCAGAGTGAGGACAGAGAAAGCATCCACTCACGAAGATTCAAGTGATGTCATTCTTGGCACACATTTTTTTTTCTCATTAAAAAATGTTACATCTTTATCTACTCAGTAAATTCGAGCTAAGATTGTCTCAATCCCCCATCCTGTGCCTTAAGGAGAAGTTTAATACTCTTCCTCATGTACCTGGGAATTCTCCACGGTAGAGGAAAGGTGATACACCTACATTTTGGGGGGCCACCTTTGGCTCTAATTTGCTGTCTTTCCTCATTTTGTGTCTTGTGGCTGTTCCTTTATCTTCTGTCTGCTTTGACCCAGGAAACTCAACCTCTTTCCTCCATAACCACAGGAAATGTACATTACACATAAGGCCAGGTAGGATGGAAACTTCCCCTGCAGTTCTGAGATCATGACTTTTTAGGTCAGTGCAAGTAATTTTAAGTGGAGCCTTAGAAATCCTTATTTTCTTTCACCGTTCTAGTCATTTCTCTCTCTGCTGTCCCTCTCCTCCCTTCTCGCCTTCCCTTTCGGAATTACCTACCTACCTGCCTGGACACACACACACACACACACACTCACACTTTTCCATTTTCTTTTGAAGCGACCTCAGCTTTCTCTAGTACCTACCCACAGTTCAGTTGATGTTTTGAAGTAACTACCAAGGAGGGCCTCGTCACATTTTTAGATAAGTTGCTGTGCCATTTCCCAGATGAGTTTTGAGATAGGGTCCGAGTTCAGATTTCCAATTACAGTAGCATTCTGTTACCTACTTCCAAATTCTGTGCATTTTGGTTAGTCTTTCTGAAATTGAGCACCTCTGGGATTATCATGACCAGGTCACTGGGCTTCAGAGCAGGGACCTTGACCCAGGAGTTGAGGTCCTACTCAGCTTCAGCTGGACCGACCGCCAGACAAAATTCAGACTTTCTTCTCTGTTGATAGTTCCCTACATTTATATTTTCAGTTGTTGCTAAGGCTCTAGTTTCCAATGCAACTAGCATAGATAATGTCTTTTAATGATTTCAGCTCCTCCAGACATTCAAAATTATTACTATTCTCATTTTACAGCTGAAATAACTGAGGTTTCGTGAAGTTTAAGATACTTGCTCAATGTTGCGCAGCATGTAACAGAGCTGGGATTTATCTTAGATCCAACTTCATCCTTGTGCTCTTTCTGCAATACTAAGGAAGCTCATATTTTACTGAGAGCCTGTTTATATGTCTACCTGGTACAAATATTCCTTAAGCTAAATACAAACCCTCTTTCACAAAGTCCTTTCCGCAGCTCTGATAAGATATTACTCTAGTGTGGGGTCTTTAAAATTGTTGTTCTTTAGTTCTTCAAAGAGTAATTCTTTGTCAGAGGACTAACAAAAGCGCCTTCTCTCGTCTGTTTCACTTCCAGGACACGTAATGCAAGTATGCTGAGCCCGGTTGTCCCATTTTCCCAAAGCGGGCACAAGGTCAGGTATGTGTGGTTATTCGGAGTGAATGCGTCATAAACTAGAACATAATAGTTATGTGCACACGTATACAGCTCAGCCCCAAGAGAGTCTATGCAGCTGAACTTATGCTTTCAAGAGCAGTTGGAAAAAGTGGAGCTCAAACTAGGAGTTAGGATGCACAAAAGGTCCTTGGCTGCATTTGCTCCGTATGCTTCAAATTGCTATATTCAATCATATCCATGGCTCTGGTTCCAAATGCAAATTATCTTGATAAATACCCAGGCTGCATTTGGGGAGCAGGAATAATTGCACCTATTTAGGGATGTGGTCAGTGTACGCTGCACCTTCGGAGGGTCAGCTCTCTC